GGTGGTAGTACAATGTGTGGTGGTAGTACAATGTGTGGAGGTAGTACAATGTGTGGAGGTAGTACAGTCAGTGGGGGGAGTACAGTGTGTAGGGTAGTACAGTGTGTGGGGTAGTACAGTGTGTGTGTGGGTAGTACAGTGTGTGGTGGTAGTACAGTGTGTGGGGGTAGTACAGTGTGTGGGGTAGTACGGAGTGTGTGGATAGTACAGTGTGTGGAGGTAGTACAATGTGTGGTGGTAGTACAATGCGTGGAGGTAGTGCAATGTGTAGGGTAGTACAGTGTGTGGGGGTAGTTCAGAGAATAGTCTTTTTCATGAATTATTTAATTGTGAGTTTTAAATCAAGGAATGAGTTTATGAGGTAAAAGTATGAGTTTATGAGTTATTAGTGTTATAAGTTTACTGGAACATCAAAGTATGAGTAATATGAGTCGGCAAAAAATAATATGTTCCTGTGTCGTCGATTTATGAGTTACATTAGGAGTCATTAAAATACACGTTTGTTCGATCACTTTATGAGTGTATAATAAACAAATTATGAGTCACGGGTATTCAAAGCTTATGTTTATGCACCATCCAAGTCAATTTTTTTATGAGTTATCAATTTATGAGTCTTGAAGTTAGGCATGTGTCGGTCATCAATCAGGTGTTTATGAGCCATTAAAGAATAATTTTTTCTGTCATGTATGAGTTTCTGAGTCATCAACGAATGAGTTTAGGGACCATCGAAGCGTGAGTTTATGAGTCATTGAAGTTATGAGTTTATGAACCATCAAAATATGAATTTATGAGCCTTGGAATAATGCTTGTGTGAGTCTTGAAACTAGGAGTGTATGAGTCATTGTAGTACGAATTTCTGAGTGATTAATGCAATAGGTTTATGAGTAATCAAAGTATGTATGTATGAGCAATCAATGTATCAGTTTATGCGTCATGAAAGAGTGAGTTTGAGTCATCATTGAATGCGTATGTGACTCATCAGACAATGGATTCGTGTTATCAAAAATGTAAGAGTGACATCAATCTGTGCGTTTATTAGTCATCAAAATATGAGTTCGTGAGTAACTAGCATTATGAGTTATTCCATTCTTCGATTTTATGAGTAACTGAGTATGAATCAATAAGAAATAAATGTGAGTCGCCAGAGAATGAGTTTATGAATCATGAAAGTGTGAGGTTGAATCGTTTGTTAATAAGTTCGTAAGTCACTGAAGAATGAATGAAAATTTCTGAGTCCATCAATAAGTTTATGAACTATCGAAGTATGAATTTATGAGGCATCAATTAGTGACTACTGTATATGAGTCATTAAAATGTGAGAGTATGAGTCATCAATTAATAACTACATTACTGTATATGAGTCATCAAAATATTCGTTTGTCATAAATTATGGGTCATCAATTATATATAAGCGTCATCAATGCATGAATCTCTGAGTTATCAAATATTTATTCTGAGATTTATCGGATATGAGTTTGTGAGTCACTAAATGTGCATTTATGAGTCATTATTGATAGTTTGTGGGTTATTCAACTTATTTGCCATCCAATTATGAGTTTATGAATCATCAAAGTTTGAGTCATTAATGGATAAGTTTATGTATCTTTTATGTGTGCATTTATGAGTCATCACAGTTCGAGTTTGAGTCATCGAATTATACAATTACGAGTCATCAAATGAGAATGAGTCAGCATTAATGACTTTGAGTTATAAAAATATAGAATTAAATGAGTCATTAAAATATGAGCCTATGAGTCAAACATGTATGAATGAGTCATCATATAACGAGTTTATGAGACAAATTAATTATGAGTACAAGTCATCGATATATGAATTTATGAGTCATCAATACGATATTACTATTCATGAAATTATAAGTTTATGAGTCATTAATGTATGAGCTAGTGAGTCATCAGAATTTATTTATGAGCTATTAAAGAATGATTTGTCTCAAAGTATTTGTTATTACATAATGAGAATATGAACCATTAATATTTGAGTTTACGAGTAGTAGAAATATGAGTTTATGAGTAATCAAAGACCGAGTTTATGAGTCATCAAGCATGAGTATTAGTCATTAAATTATGATTTCACGTGTCATCAAATTATGAAGAAGGTTTGTGAACTGTTAACGATTATGATGAACATTGCAGTAAATAACATGACTACAAAGTTTAAGCTTATTTGATGACGTGTTGTGACGCAACTCATGACGTGTTGTAACGTAATTAATTACGTGTTGTGATACAAATCATGACGTGTTGTAAAGAAATTGATGACGTACTCTGACGCAACTGCTGACGTATTGTAACAATTAATGACGTGTTGTGATGTATTTGATATGTTGTGCTGCAACTGACGACATCATGTAACGTAATTGATGACGTGTTGTGACAAAGCTGATGATGTCTGAACTAATGACGTATTCGAGGCGATATTATTCCACAGGTCTGCCAACAGTTTAAGGGGTTCACACATGCTTGTGTCGAACGGCTCAAATGTTCTGCAATGTATTCGTCAGCACCCCGAGAGATATGGTGCAGTATTTCATTCTCACTCTACATGTACAGTACTACTAATTGATGACGTGTGGATGATGACTAGTATATAATATTGGCGTGTACATGATAACGTAAACAGTACATTGATGACGTGTATATGAACAATACTGATTGATGAGGGGGAAAAGGAGATAGTGAGTGAATGAATACACCAGTGAGTAATTGAGTAAAAAAAGGAGTGAGTGGACGAATACTGTAAGTGATGAAGTTGATGAGTGTATGATCTGAGTTAGTGAATGAATGAAGGTGAGTGAGTGAATAAGTGGAGCTAGTAGTAAGTAAAGGAGGTGGGTGAGGTGAAGGTGATAAGGAGTAAATGACTTAATGAATGAATGAGTGAGTGAGTGAAAAAAGAGGTGCTGGTGCTGATAGTAGTAGTAGTAGTAGAAGTAGTGGTGGTGGTGGTGGTGGTGGAGCAGGGAAGGAACAATACTCAGGGCTACTACACCTATTGCTGAGCGAGAGACAAGGAGAGGGCTCACAGCTCGCTAGCGTTACCTCCTGCGCCCCCGCCCTGGAGAAGTGTCACCCTCAGGTGCCCCTCGTCGTCCACTCCTACCGATTTGGAGCAGATGAAGAGGCAGGTGCAGGCCAGCACGAAGAGACACCCGGGCAGGATCGTCGCCACCAGCAGGATCGCCGAGGTCATCACAGGGTCGAATTTTCCGATGACGAATTCCTGTCTCATGTCAGTGAAGTAGCAGGGGTAACGGTCAGGAGTCATCCCGTCAAAGCCATCATGGGCGTGCGACTCGAAGAAGGCCGTGCATTCCTTGCGTAAGGTGTTGACGCAGCCTTCGGGATTAATTCGTAGCTGAGTGTTGTTCATGATGCGGAGTGTCTGCTCTGGGAGGATGACCCAGTCCGAGCGGTTGCCCCAGGTCTGATGTATCTGCTGGAGGGTCATGTATTCTTTAACTCCCTGTATTTCTTCCACGCTTCCTAAGGTGGCATTGAAACAGTCAGCAGAGAGAAGGTCGTAGGTCTTATTGCCTTTAACTTTGGTGACGTAGGAGCAGAAGAGCATGAGAGTTTCCCTCTTGTCCCGCCATTCCTGTTTGCTGCTGACGCTCTCGATACTGGCGGAGGTGTTGGCGTCAGGTGAATCCATAGAGGAGCAGGCGGTCGCCACTAGTCTCTCTCGGCTGAAGATGACGACGTTACGTTCTCGCATCTCTAAATTGGTGCACTTCCGTTCACAGTCCAGCCAATACTTGCGTTTATCCCAAAGTTTCTTGCACTCGCCTTTCTTGCAGGAAAACACTCCGTCTAGTCGTTCCTTACATTTTTCCTCGTCACAAGTGATGGGTATCTTTTGTATATTACGACTGTAACAATAAAAAGCTGGAGTGATTTCTCTGCACTCGTTTTCCCCGTCTCTTGTGCAGGTGAAGAGGCCTGTCAGATCTTTACATTGCCCCCTCTTGCAATGCCTGACGTGAGTTTTATTGACGTCGAGGGCCGAGCAGTTTTCATCAGCAATGTCTACGCAGTCTCGGAAGTTGACTTTCGACCCGTTATTGCGTACCATGACGTGGATCTGCATGCAGGTTCCCGACCCTTTGGACAAACACCATTCACCACAAGTTGACCACTTACACGGGATCTTCGTTGTTCCTGCTGCTAAATCTTTGGCTTCCACTGTCGTACACATTATAGGAGTCGTATTAAAGCCCATCGCCAGTTCATTCTTTGATGGAATAATGACGATCACTGCCAGGTAGAGCAACGACACCCCGGACAAGATGGCTATCATTTGACAGATACAAATGCTAAAACAAATCTGCTTTTCGGCAGTCATCTTTATATATATTAGTTAACATACACCAAAATACAAATCAGTCACTACAGTTCTGTGCAGCGGCCACAAATCACCGTAGGAAGGCACTGTTCACCATATCACCAGTCTGATAAGGTCCGCCGCCCGCGCCTGTCGCACCAATGATACCTCAGGAACTTGCCTCCATAGTGCCAAGTGCTTCAACTGGCAACATGCTCTTTTTACTCACACAAGGTCTTCTTTTATACGCATCACTATAAGTTTTTCCTCGTATCCAGCTCCCTCAGGACCCACGTTTCAACCACCACATTATCACAAACTGGAAGAATTTTCATCAGTGTAGAGACAAAGATGGCGCTGCAGTAACTGGCGCAGGCGTCACTTGACCTCTGCATGAAACCCCCCGTAGGAAGATGCCAAGTACAAAATTATTTACGTTATACTGTGCACCAATATGACCAAACCTATTCAGGGAATGAAATTAGTAATATAAAACCCTATGTTAAGTCACACTGCATAAGATTATTATGAATCCTTTGTTATTTCTCTTAAAACTGGTGTCTTCCCTGTGAGTCAGTGCAGTGCGCATGACACCAAACACTGCAGTAGTCGAGCCTGGGCAGATGCCAACTAGTGCCTCACAGTTAATAATTCCTCTTTGGAATCTCTCTTCTGTTTCTTTATTCTCACTTGAAGGAATAAAAACGATAAACATAACCACCGGGGGAATTAAAATGAAGACAAATCATCAATGTGAGGAAATTTAAAAACAGGGAATTCTAGGCCCAGTATTTTCTAGAGGCGGGAGGATCAATACAGAGGCTAGTACTGCAGGAGACGTTTTCTTTGGCTAGTCTGTCCCACCCTATCCCGTTCTCCCTCTCTCCCTCCCACTCCTTTCCATCCCCACTCCGATTATAAAGATAACCTCATTTTTATTTTGTTTTGTAAAGATTTCGTCAAAAGTCGATATTAGGACCCAGTGAATGGTGTTTTCAGTCCTCTTGCCACTGAAGGGTCCAATACGAGTACATTCAGAGGACAACATTTATTGTATAATGTCCTCCCTCACACACCTTCCTCCCTCACACACCCTTATCCCTCACACACCCTCCTCCCTCAAACACCCTCCTCCCTCACACAACCTCCTCCCTCACACACCCTCCTCCCTCACCTCCTTCCTTACACACCCTCCTCCTTCTTCCTCCTCCACACCCTCCCCACCTCTCCTCACACACCCTCCTCCTTCCACCCCACACACCCCTCCTCCCCACACACACACCCTCCTCCCCCTCTTCCTTCCCACACACCCTCCCTCCTCACCTCCCCCCCTCCCTCCACACCACCCTACACACACACCTCTCCTCCTCCCCTCCCCACACACCCTCCACACCTCACACACCCTCCTCCCTCCTCCTCACACACCCTCACACACACCCCCTCCCTCACACACACCTCCTCCCTCACACACCCTCCTCACACACCCTCCACACCCCTTCCTCCCTCACACACTCCTCCCCCTCCACCCTCACACACCCTCCTCCCTCCCTCACACACTCCTCCCTCCTCTCACACCCCTCCCTCCCTCCCCTCTCCCACCACTCCCTCCCTCCCCTCCCCACACACTCCCTCCCTCCTCCCTCACACACCCTCCTCCCTCTCACACACCCTCCCCACTCCCTCCCCACACACCCCCCCTCCCCTCCCCTCACACACCCTCCTCCCTCCCCTCCCCACACCCCTCCCCTCCCCACCCTCCTCCCCTCCCACACCTCCTCCCACCCTCCACCCCTCTCCCACCCCTCCCCCACCTCCCCCACCCTCCTCACTCCCCTCCCCACCTCACCTCCCTCCCTCCCACACCCTCTCCCTCCCCTCCTCCACCTCCTCCCTCCCCCACCCTCCTCCCTCCCACCTCCTCCTCCCCTCCCCACCCTCCTCCCCCTCACACACCCTCCTCCCTCCCTCACACACCCTCCTCCCTCCCCACCTCACACACCCCTCCTCCCTCACACCCCTCCTCCTCACACCCCTCCTCCCTCACCCTCCTCCCCTCCCACACCCCTCCCCCCCCTCCCCACCCCCTCCACCCTCCCCACCCTCCTCCCTCCCACACCCTCCTCCCTCCCCACACACACCCTCCTCCCACCCCTCCTCCTACACCCCTCCTCCCCTCCCACACCCTCCCACCCTCCCCCCTCCTCCCCACCTCCCTCCCCCCTCCCCTCCCCCCTCCCCCTCCCTCCCTCCCCTCCCCACACACCCCCCCTCCCCTCCCACCCCTCCTCCCTCTCACACACCCTCCTCCCTCCCTCACACCCTCCTCCCTCCCTCCACCCTCCTCCCCCTCCCTCGAATGAGGGACGAGGGTAGGTGTAACAGCAGAGGATGAGCTCAAAGTGGCCAGACCAAGTGGGAGGGAAGGAAAGGTGTGGTCAGTGTCAAAGAGAGGGTGTGGTCAGAAGGTGTGGTCAGTGTGGTGAGGGAAGGTAGGAAGTCAGAAGGAGAAGGTGTGGTGAGGGAAAGAGGGAGGAAGGTGTGGTCAGGAAGGAAGGTGTGGTCAGGGGAAGGAGGGGTGTGGTGGGAAGAAGTCAGGAAGGAAAGGTGTGGTCAGGGAAGGAGGTGGTTGGGTGGGGTGGTCAGGGAAGGAGGTAACGAGTGTGGGAAGGAATGCGTGTTGGGTGTGGCTGTCTGCGGTGGGCAGGTGTGGCGACATACTGTACACACACACACACACACACATATATATACATACAGCGTTGCTAAGCCACACCCAGCAAAACTCAACTCATACACACACACACACGTCAATAACATCGCTGGTAACGCTTCACTAGACATGCATAAAAATCAAGAAAATCAATAAAAACGACACCTAACATTCCTTTATAACTTTCAATGTACCTGGAACGAGAGACACCGTCCAGTTAAACTCCACAAACATTCACGACCAAATGTTCCTACACACTCTTGTTCGTAACTGTATCAAACCTAAGTGAGATTTTACAGCGCCATCTATGGGTAGTATAAGGAGTTCGGAGACTTATTCCCAGCGGTTCGGAAACTCGAGGGTGGAGTAACAAGGGAATGTAGTTCGGGATTGTACAGTCACCCAAAAGAAGTCCTGTCGCGAACCATGAACCCCGAGATTCAGACTCTTGAATCCGAAGCATTTATGGACAGAATAATGTATCAGTGTCAACTGCTTCGGGTTCACGAGTCTGAATCGTGGTTCGCGACAGGACTTTTTTGGGTGACTGTACAGTAACCTATGGCAAGTGGGTTATTAGTTCCCCGTGGCAGTAGGTTCACGTCTTCATCATTTCTCTGTGACGTTTTGGTGGCAGATATTCATGTAAGAGATTATATTTTTTATTAAAGGGATTTAATTAGGGGTAGAATTCGCACGTTCTTGTATACTGTTCCGGGGCGATGAATTCGTATCCGGTCTCAGCCCATGTAAAATCTGTGGATCCAAAAATCAGTGTCATGTGAACTATGAACTTTTGAACTGACTCGTAAACATATAATGAAAGTTCAGGTATGTTGGGGAGAGAGGCATATCCCCCGACACACCTGAGACTGTGTACATGTTTAAGGATATTTTGGGATCCATAAGAAAGTAAACACAAACACAGCTGTTGTTTTCTTTTGACGACATGGACGCGCATTGCTGCAATCAAAGGATAGCTAGTAGCAGCGTTGGGTGGCGGCAACGGGTAGAGGCGGCGGCGGGAGTGGGCGGCGACGACTGGAAGAGGCGGTGGCGGGAGGCGGCGACAATGGCTGCGACGGCGATAACTTGACCAGACAATACATGATTTTGTCTGGGAATTCACTGCACTGACGCCTATGAGGTTAATATACTGTACATATGTGTGTGTGTGTGCAACCTGTGGTGTATAGTATACTCACCTAACAAGCGGGCAAGGAGAAACTATGGGAAAGTTTCTTCACGCCATTTGCCTCTGTCTACCCAGCAGTAATAGGAAACTTGGGAGGTCATCGATTTCGGGAATGTGTTCCGGGGTAATGGTTAGCCAGTGTAGTTGGTGAGTTGTCCGGTCTTTCAGATTATTCTTTAACGCTGGGACACAGATCATTAACTTGTGGGTGTAGTTGTTGTACTGGCGACAGTTTCTTCACCTTAAAGTAAATTCCCGCCTAAGTGACCCTATGGACCATATGTGCATCGGTATGTAAAGTATAGATACAGTACGTATGTTTATGCCTACTCTTGCGGACGGGCTTGCTGTACACAGAGACAGATCCGCCAAGGGTGTGTTATCTTTAAAGGTCTCCATATGTAAACAAACCCACTAACAGCTGGTTTTGTCCTAGACATGTCTCTACACGTATGGTGGAACGTCAACAATAACAATCGCAGACATGTTTTGGTCTGGCAATTTGCGTTTTAGAGGCTTTTGTGAAGAACTTGTTTGTATAGAATGTTTCGGTTTGAACGTTTCGGCATTGAAAGCCTTGATCTGCAACGTTTCCGTTTAGAAAGTCTGTGCCTGAACGCCGCTGTGAGGTACGGTTTGGTCTAAAACGTTTCCTTCTGGACGTTTCGTTATAGGACGTTCCGGCCATGAACTTTTATTCAGAACGTTTCAATCTGGATCTGGAACGTTTTGGTCTAGAACGTTGCGGTCTGGTAATTTTCGGTCTACATCGTTTTAGTCTAGAATTTTTCAGTCTGATACGTTTCAACTTGGAACATTTCGGTCTGCACCGTTTAAGTCTGGTCCAAAATTCTTTAGTCTGGAACTTTTTGTGTCTGTCTCAGATGGAGAGTGTCAGGCAGGAACAGTGCCAGCCCACGACCACGCCCAAATCTCTTCATATCACAATCTCGAGGATACGTTTACCAGTCGAGAATTAACGAGTACAGGTCAAGAATCAGATACACATTTATCGAGAATTAAGAGCAATATCAATTAATAATTAAGAAGAATATGTCGAGTATTAGAGGAATATTTGTTGAGTATTACAGGAAAATTTCTAAGCAACTTAATTTTTTCTTTAAATTCATAAGAATATTTATCGAAAATCGGACAAATACTTTACATAAATCCGAGGAACATTCACCGATAATTATCAAACGAATATATATCGATGTCTCAGTGAATATTTCCCGCGAACTAGACGACTTCCACAGAAAATGAATATCAAAGATTTCGTTGTGTGTAACCAAGTACAGCGTTCACTGCAGTCGTATACCTCATTGGCTGTTCACCATTCACAGAGTCCTGGAAGTGTCATAATCGACCAAGAGATCCTCGCTGAGTCATACCGCTGCGACACACACACACTGAGGGAGGGAGAGAAGGGGGTTTGGGAGGGTCGCGTGCAACAAGGAACAGCTTTCGTGCAGCGAGGAAGTCTTGGTACAGTGGAAAAAAGTGGCGAACAGCAGTAGGGTTTGGCGGTGACCGCACTGACGAGACTGAATCAATAGTGTAGCTTCGCTTTTCCGCAGAGACTCGGTCTGAGGGCTGAATATGAGAATGTAAACATATGGAGGGAGGGGCGAGAGAGGGAAGGAGGGAGGGAAAGGCCGAGGAAAGGAGTGAAGGGGGGAGAGACCGAGG